AATCTTCCATATATGATAAGTAAACTTAGTTTACTTCCAAAATTTATTTTCACATCATTTTTTTAGATTATAAAAACCTTAATCAACTTTAACTGTCTAACATCTTTATTTGTATAAGTATAATATTAGTAGAGTTTGAATAACTCTATTATCTGATTGCACATTTTATAATCACTCAGTATTTTCTTCTTGAAATTAATTACATTAATGTATAACGGTCCATCTAACTCAGTCTCGTTATCATCAATTATCATCAGAAACACTTGCAAAAGACTTATGTATTAAATTAAATTTAAAGATTTTGCACTTGTTATATGATTTCTTACTTACACAGAGTAATCTCAAGAATCGATTTTGAACTAATTTCATGAAGGTCGTGTTGTGGGAATCAATTTTATTGTGCATAAAATTGATTCCATGGTTTTTGAAACTTGTTTAAATAGGTTTTTGTATTATAATGGCACTTTTGTGGTTGGAAGACGTCATTTATACTTATTTGAAATTTGTTTGTGTGTGGTTAGGGTCATTGGTGAAATTGACATCGTGACTAGCCTGTAAGTTTTGTGCTTGGTTTCGTAGTGTGTAAAACCCATTGTTTAGGGGTTTATAGGTTGTAATATTTCATGAATGTTAAATCACATGTTAACTTGTCACGTAGGTTTCCTTGTTTAAATTATTCTTTCACTTTAGTAGCTACGTCACAAAAAAAAATATTTTTTGTTGTTTCACATGGAATATTGTTATGATTATTGTAATCTTCACAAATTTTATTGAATCATTATTTTTTACACTATTATTTAAATTAATCAAAATAACAAATCACTAATAATCAAATATATTTTGTTTTTTCAATTTATTATTAAATTGATATTTAATTCAACATGTGAACAAAATAATATTCACAAAATTATTGAACACTTTTCTATAACAAATACACTGTACTTTTTATTTATTATAATAATATTATTTTTCTTCAATAGAAACTATATTTTACAAAGTTGATTTCAGTCAATTTAAAGTTATTTTATATTACATTTATCAATAACATTTTGATAATCTTAGATTTATGTTTATTAAAATATTTTTTATCTATCACATTAATCTAAGTCTGCTTACTAATTTTCATATTGAAATCTACTCACTTTTATCTCTAAATTTCTTAAAAACAACACAAATCATATTACATAAACAAATAACAAGGCTGAAGTACAATGGGAACATGAGCCAAAATATTAAGTTTTTTATGTATAGTGAAAATTTATAGAAATTAAATTAGGTGAATTTTAAATTTGTATAAAATATCATTTAATGTGAATAAATAGTAAAACATAAAATTATACATAATAAATAATACCAAATTTTATTAAGATTTTTTTCTTTTATTTCCTTGCTTTTGAATTAGTTTATTTTTCATTTTCACGTGTTCTCTTATATTTTTAAATAAATAATTAAATATAATTTTTTTTTATTGTCATTTTTACTTGTCTTATTCCATTGTGGAAGAAAGCGAAAGTATTTTCTTATTCACTTGAGGTGAAATTTCTTTTATCTTTTTTTTGTCTCTTTTAGACTACTAGGTTTTCAAGAGTCCAACTATTCCATCGTTGTCGAAAAAATCAAATTTTTTATAAAAGAAAGATTCTGATAAGAGATAGAGGAGATTCAACTTGGTGAAGTTGTATAGGTGTGACCCAAATTATTACTATAGAAGATATGATTGGAAATGTTGATGGTATATAACGCTAAGGAGCTTATTGGCGAAGGAGGCTCAATTTTATCATGGGGAGCACTAGTGGTTAACCCCACCTTACCATAGGATAATGGAGTAGCACTATATTTTCATCTCCAAAACTTTGTTGTTGTTGACCTCCAAAATCACCGAAATGTGGAGGCAATTCTATGGTGGAAATGGTCATGACCTTAAAGTCCTCGTTGGAGTTTCATTTACTATCGTTATGATAAAGTTTATCCACGCACAATGCCTAAATTATGACATGTTTTACCTTAGAGGTAGTGAGATGCTTACAGAAATTAATGACAACAGGTTGCCGATTTGGGACAAAATTTCAATCATGGAAGCATGTACACGATTTTTGGTGCAAGCCTTTTGAATAAGGTATTGAGAGCCTTACTTGGGACAACAATGTCTTTTTCTTCCATATTTGTCTTCTTCTTCTCCTCGAAGATGTTGTATGTTTTGTAGATTGTTGGGGCCACAACTTTGCATTTCTAATATAGTTAACGACAAGAGAGGAAAAGACAACATGTACTATTTTTAATAAACACGTTAGTGTTATTACCTTTTTCAATTTTGACAAGTACTCAAGTTCATTTGGCTTGGTTCTAACAAAAAACCAAATAATATAAGTTATAATTTAAATACCAATATATTGTCATGTGAATTGGGTGCATCAATGCGATCATGGCTATGTGTGAGGATTATAAAATGTGGAGNTATATATAAAAAGAAAATTGTTCAAAGAAATCAAGCTTCCAATGGATCTTGATATCCACAAAGACAGAATTCATGTCAATACCAAGGTGTCAGATAAACGATAGAGAATATTAGTAACAGAACACAACTTGCAACACACAAACTCTGGAGAAGATTATGAAAAACGTGTCTTACCTTTCAAAGCAAGGATTCTAGAATTAGGATTCATAAGAGCGGAATCTGCAGTGATAGGCCTCCTCAAAGGCTGATTTGGCATGGTCATGTCAATGATGACCACGCTATTCTGAGGAGAGGTTTCTCGAACACATATATACTTATCCGATTCCATCGTCACGTGTGTGAACGTGATGAATTGCGTATTGATGCCAATGCTAGGCAACTGCAATCACAAGTGAGATCATATGACATAAACCACCACACTTAATACACTACTAACAAAACAATTCATCGATAACATCGAACAATTATGCTTCCCACTCTCCAGTTCGGAAAACAAAATAAAACTCAGATCTGCACATAAGTAACAGTAAGCAAACTAGAAAACTAAAGTTGCAGAGTATACGACTAGGAGACCAAAATTGACAGAGTTTGTGGCAAAACTGAGTAATTATCACAAGCCAGTGCACTTACTGGTACTTCCAGAAAAAATAACTGTAAATTGCATCAGTAAAGAGAGAAAATCGAAGGAGGATGAGAACTCACGGTTAGGGCTTCTTTCATGGTGATCGGAGCATTCGCGGCCGCCATGGTGGCTTAGATCGATGAACAGAAAATCGAAGACTCGGATCTGCAACCGGCGATTGAACTGGCGAATTTAAAGCGGAACAGAACAGTGAAGGAGAGTAGAGAGAAAGCTTGAGGAGGATCCAAATCGCTGCGAGATCTGGAAGCAGCCGAAGCAAAGACTTGGACCCTCTTCAAAGCGAAGAGGAAAGAGAGAGAAAGAGAAAGAAGTGGAAAAGAAACGGGATATTGAACTTGTGACACGAATAAAACGAGGGAGAGTGGAATTGAATTGGCGTTTACACTGCCGAGACGAGAAGCATAAATCTCGTCTCCTATTAGACACCGAGCAAGAGAAGCGAAAATATTTAGGAGCGGTAATAAACTAATAATAACGCTAAAAAAGGAAAAATGGAGTGGCTTGCCCTGATCTTGAACACGTAAGAGGGTGTCTTGTCTTTTTCATTTCCGTTGTTTTATATAGCGCAGCGAAAATAAAATAGGACATTTCAGAAAGAATTTGTTTCTTTCCATACCATAGAACAATAGTTGAATTTTCTTCGTATGTTGTACTAGATTTAACATGGATTAATCATTTCCTGTTTAAGATCAGGATAGAAAAAAAAGTTATTTCATGAGAAAATTATGTTTATATAGCTATGACTTTTTAAAAAAATTATTTTCAGTTTAAGTTAATTTTAATTCATAAAAGTTATTTTATTAAATTTTTTTGTTTTAAAGGATTTTAATTGATAATTTGTTCATAGTAGTTCATAATCAAAATGTTGTTTTCTATAAGATGGATCCATACAGAATGTTACTAAATATTAAACTTAAATTATTGTTTGCATTCCCTACATTTTTATTATATTTTTTTCTTTTTATTTATTTTTTTTGTTTACCTATGTATTTACTTGAAATTTCCAGGATGGGATTTAGAGTCTAAATTGGAAACTAATTAGTTGACAACATAATTTACAGTGACACTGTATTAGTAACTTAATGTTTTGTAAATTTTCATATGAGAAACATAATAGTTTATATATTTTTATATATTTTATTTTAATCACAAAAATAGTATCAATCAAAATTTATTATATTTATTTCTGTATAATCAATTATTATCGTGAATATTTATAGAAGATTGATGTATTGAATTAGACCCTGGATTTTATACTTGTCATATGATTTTTCACGTCGTATCAAAAGTTAAATCTTCCATATATGATAAGTAAACTTAGTTTACTTCCAAAATTTATTTTCACATCATTTTTTTAGATTATAAAAACCTTAATCAACTTTAACTGTCTAACATCTTTATTTGTATAAGTATAATATTAGTAGAGTTTGAATAACTCTATTATCTGATTGCACATTTTATAATCACTCAGTATTTTCTTTTTGAAATTAATTACATTAATGTATAACGGTCCATCTAACTCAGTCTCGTTATCATCAATTATCATCAGAAACACTTGCAAAAGACTTATGTATTAATTACACTTGTTATATGATTTCTTACTTACACAGAGTAATCTCAATAATCGATTTTGAACTAATTTCATGAAGGTCGTGTTGTGGGAATCAATTTTATTGTGCATAAAATTGATTCCATGGTTTTTGAAACTTGTTTAAATAGGTTTTTGTATTATAATGGCACTTTTGTGGTTGGAAGACGTCATTTATTTGAAATTTGTTTGTGTGTGGTTAGGGCCATTGGTGAAATTGACATCGTGACTAGCCTGTAAGTTTTGTTCTTGGTTTCGTATTGTGTAAAACCCATTGTTTAGGGGTTTAAAGGTTGTAATATTTCATGAACGTTAAATCACATGTTAACTTGTCACGTAGGTTTCCTTGTTTAAATTATTCTTTCACTTTAGTAGCTACGTCACAAAAAAAAATATTTTTTGTTGTTTCACATGGAATATTGTTATGATTATTGTAATCTTCACAAATTTTATTGAATCATTATTTTTTACACTATTATTTAAATTAATCAAAATAACAAATCACTAATAATCAAATATATTTTGTTTTTTCAATTTATTATTAAATTGATATTTAATTCAACATGTGAACAAAATAATATTCACAAAATTATTGAACACTTTTCTATAACAAATACACTGTACTTTTTATTTATTATAATAATATTATTTTTCTTCAATAGAAACTATATTTTACAAAGTTGATTTCAGTCAATTTAAAGTTATTTTATATTACATTTATCAATAACATTTTGATAATCTTAGATTTATGTTTATTAAAATATTTTTTATCTATCACATTAATCTAAGTCTGCTTACTAATTTTCATATTGAAATCTACTCACTTTTATCTCTAAATTTCTTAAAAACAACACAAATCATATTACATAAACAAATAACAAGGCTGAAGTACAATGGGAACATGAGCCAAAATATTAAGTTTTTTATGTATAGTGAAAATTTATAGAAATTAAATTAGGTGAATTTTAAATTTGTATAAAATATCATTTAATGTGAATAAATAGTAAAACATAAAATTATACATAATAAATAATACCAAATTTTATTAAGATTTTTTTCTTTTATTTCCTTGCTTTTGAATTAGTTTATTTTTCATTTTCACGTGTTCTCTTATATTTTTAAATAAATAATTAAATATAATTTTTTTTTATTGTCATTTTTACTTGTCTTATTCCATTGTGGAAGAAAGCGAAAGTATTTTCTTATTCACTTGAGGTGAAATTTCTTTTATCTTTTTTTTGTCTCTTTTAGACTACTAGGTTTTCAAGAGTCCAACTATTCCATCGTTGTCGAAAAAATCAAATTTTTTATAAAAGAAAGATTCTGATAAGAGATAGAGGAGATTCAACTTGGTGAAGTTGTATAGGTGTGACCCAAATTATTACTATAGAAGATATGATTGGAAATGTTGATGGTATATAACGCTAAGGAGCTTATTGGCGAAGGAGGCTCAATTTTATCATGGGGAGCACTAGTGGTTAACCCCACCTTACCATAGGATAATGGAGTAGCACTATATTTTCATCTCCAAAACTTTGTTGTTGTTGACCTCCAAAATCACCGAAATGTGGAGGCAATTCTATGGTGGAAATGGTCATGACCTTAAAGTCCTCGTTGGAGTTTCATTTACTATCGTTATGATAAAGTTTATCCACGCACAATGCCTAAATTATGACATGTTTTACCTTAGAGGTAGTGAGATGCTTACAGAAATTAATGACAACAGGTTGCCGATTTGGGACAAAATTTCAATCATGGAAGCATGTACACGATTTTTGGTGCAAGCCTTTTGAATAAGGTATTGAGAGCCTTACTTGGGACAACAATGTCTTTTTCTTCCATATTTGTCTTCTTCTTCTCCTCGAAGATGTTGTATGTTTTGTAGATTGTTGGGGCCACAACTTTGCATTTCTAATATAGTTAACGACAAGAGAGGAAAAGACAACATGTACTATTTTTAATAAACACGTTAGTGTTATTACCTTTTTCAATTTTGACAAGTACTCAAGTTCATTTGGCTTGGTTCTAACAAAAAACCAAATAATATAAGTTATAATTTAAATACCAATATATTGTCATGTGAATTGGGTGCATCAATGCGATCATGGCTATGTGTGAGGATTATAAAATGTGGAGTCATGATAAAGTTGTACCTTAGCCCCAAGATGGACACTAATGTTTTGATTCCAAATTCGTCGAGTGATATCATTAAGGTCAATCACTATGCATCTGAAGTATTGTTCGTTTTGGAATTTGTGCTCCATTATTATTTTGTCCTTAAAACGTGTCTCAAAGGATGGAATGAGGAAATAGTATTTGAACTTCCTTAGGTATTGATTTTTAAATAATGTGAGACTATTGGGTGTACCAAAACATAACCCCCTAGTCGAGGTTTAAGGAGAATGACTGTTTATCCCTAATGAAATGCTTAATGGACCGATGGTTCGTCTTAGGACCTCGTTATCGGCCTCACGGTGGGTGTCAACGTTTCGATCTCAAGTTCGCTAAGTGACATTCTTAAGATATTATTCACTTTGGATTGACCATATAATGGACACTAATGTGTTTAAACCCAAGTTTGACGAATATCATCTCTAGGGTCAACCAAAGCATTCTTAAGGTATTATTTGCTTTGAAAACTAAAGCTCTCTCATAGTTTTGTTTTTTAAAATACATCAAAAGATAAAAGAAAAATAAGTTAAACTGTTTTAGACCTCACCTCGATGGAGAAACTATTAAATATGATAAGAAAATTATATATTATATAATTTATTTTCAAATTTTATTATTTTAAAATATAGAAACGAACATTTTAAACATTTCATGAAGTGGGAGAAATATTTTGAGAGTGAAAAGAAAAGGAGTTGCCTAGTTTAGGTATACTTTTCCATAACTTTTTTTTCACTTCCATTAATTTTTATAATTTAGATTATATAATATAAAATATAAATATCTTTTTAATCATAAAAAAAATATAAACTAAATAAACCTAAAATATAAATAAAAAATAATAACAAATTAACTAAAAAAATATTTAACTTATGCTATTTTTTTATTTTGTATGAAACGAATAATTCAAAATATAATTTCTAAATTTAGAACAAATAATTTACTCAAATGCAATTCAAAATTAGTTATATTCTAAATTATATAATTCAAAGTATTTTTTATTTTATATTTAAAATGTATAACCAAAAATTTTAAAAAGTACAAGAAAACTTATGAAAGTGAAAGTGAAAACTATATAGCTACGGGAAGAAATGACCCTGGTTCAAATATTTAAAGCCCAAACCCGTTTTTCTTCTGGGGATTTCCTATTCTGAAATAAAAAATCAAAATAAAGTAAAAATAAAGAGCGGGAGCCTAAAGCTTAGTTCTGCTGCAACACATTTTCCTTTCACTCTTCTTGTGCTCCATACTCGTTACCACCAAACTTATGCACCATAGGAACTTGCTCTGAGCTCCGAGAAAATGTCGATTGGAGTACGGTGCCTAACTGTGTTGGGCGAGTTCAAACCGTTTGGCCTCGTCGCTGAAGCTCTGGACGGCAAATCCCCTGGCACTGTCAGTGACAAGTACGATTACTTCCTCTTCGATCCAGAAATCGCGCGGGATAGAGACGCCGAAGATGAATGCGATAACGTTTCTCCGGAACCGACCACTTGTGGCGATCATGAGCTTTTCATCCGCGGCAATCGGTAAATTTATCACAAAACCCTCGCTTCTCTGCTTAATTACTTCCGAAGGTGCGGACATGGAGTTAAAGGAATAAGATTAGCGAAGTTTTTTTATTGTGTTCTTTTGCTGATGTTCGTTTGCTCCGCATGGT